GAAAAATCGTGTTTTAATGTATAATTGGAAACTACATATCGCCTTTATATTGCATGTTATTTCTAAGATGCTTGATGCTTAACGCACAGAACATTTATTTTACGCATATTTACTAGCACACTCTTTTGTTCATAATTTTTTTATTTTTATTGCATGCAAAAACTTATTATGTATATTATATTTTATCAAGATCAGCATTACGTATCAATAAACAAAAATAATTGTAGTCAACTTTTTAAAATCCTACATTTCCATTCCGCGTGTATTTATATATGAAAATTAGGTAGTACCGACAATAATATTTTTATGTACGATCGCATTTCTGTATATTTTATTTATGAAATAAAGAAAAGAACAAATAAATTATCGTTTATTGCATTCGTTTTTGTGCTTGTTTTCAACCCATTTTTATATCCTCCTCTTTTTCAAATGGCTTTTTATATATTATTATACACACAAATGTGTACACGATTTTTCTTACAGGATTAATAAATCATGTTATATTTTGCTACACCAACGACACAGTCTGATTATATTTACGTTGCTGTAAATATTAGGAATGCGTATTTAAATGGATACAATTAATAGGAAACATATTATATATCATGTATAAAATAAAAGATAGAATGTTAAATAAAATTAAATCTTATTGAAAAGCCAAAAGTTATAGCAAAATGTTTTTAAAATTAATCTAATCTATTTAAAAATTTATTGCAGGTTTGAATTTTGGAATTAATGGTGCAATCCGTAATGTTTTCGTTTAACTATTAAAAAGAAAATATTCATAAATAATTTTATGTTTACTTATATATTATGTATTATATTAAAAGCCATTAATTTCAAATTACAAATTAATAAAATAACTTATTCAAAATTTTTTTGTAATAATTCTTCTATATTCTTTTTCAATAGTATAATTTATTCGCATATTTATTTCGCATATAATCATCATTTTGTTTAAAAATAATTTTAATAAATTTATTAATTTAATCTACCAATTGTAGATTAGTTCCAATATTTATTAAAATGTAAAACATATGCTTTGCATTTTTTCTTTTTATTTTTCAACAAATTCATTATATAAATCCCAAAAATATATAATGAAATATATTTTAATAAATTTAGTCATTGCTAAATTACAATTGTTTTTATTTTTAATATAGTAATATTAGATACCACTCACGTTGTTTTGTTATTTTTTTTTTTGTCAGGAATCATCATCAAAGCAGATAACTCAGTTAAAGCAAGACTTGGAAGAAACAACAACAAAACTTTCAACTGCTAATTCAGAATTAGCTCATATTCGTTTGACTCTAGAAGGGGAACGAATGAATAATTCATCTCTGCATTTAGAAGTAGCGCGTTTACGAGAAGATTTGGAATCTGAAAGAACAGCATCAGCAACATTAAAAGTATGTTTAGAAAAGGAAAAGAATGAAAAAGATACTGTATTATTAAGAAATGCTCAAGTTTCTCAAGATATAGAAATTGTGAAGCAAGAAAATAGGCGACAGGAAGTAGAAAATACAGAGTTACAAAATAGGATAGAAACTTTAGAACAAAATTTACAAAGTAAAAGTAAGGAAATAGAGCAAGCGATGACAACGCTAGAAGAAACCAAACAGAGAATGTTGGAATTGGAGGATGTGGAACAAAATAGAAAAAAAATGGAGAGGAATGAAACATTACTCAAAAGTAGCTTGATGGATCTTGAAGAGCAATTAAACGAGAAAACTAAGGTAAAATTTAAGAAATTTAAAAAATTTATTTCAAAAGAATATTATTTGTTAAATATTTTAATAATAATTATTTTAGACAATTAAAGTCTTACAGCAACGATTAACCGATATGAAAAAGACTCTTCAACGAGAGTTGAGAGTTCCGTCTTCATCATTGGATAGTGATGCTGAACCTTCTGCGGCGATTCTCAAGCCCAGTTCGTCAAAAACAGTCACTGCCAGGCACAATAATACACGAGATGATGATGTTAACTTTAAATATCTCAAACATGTTCTCATAAAGTTCCTAACAAGTAGGGAATATGAGGTAAATTTGATATACTTATTAATCTTTGATATATTTACTTCAAACCATCAAGACAAAGTATCTAATCTTTTTTAAATAATTACAAACATATATAAAAGAAATACGAAATACAATATAATTTTTATATAAGAGTTAACAATATTGTAATGAAATTTAAATTTTTCAATTATTTTCTTGTTTAACTTTTGTGTATTTCTTTAAGGCCCTTCATTTAACGAGAGCAGTTGCTACTCTTTTACATTTTTCACCCGAAGAGGAGCGATTATTACAAGAAACTTTAGAATGGAAAATGTCATGGTTTGGCACACGGCCTAATCTAGGTTTTGGACAAACTGCCAAAGCTATACCACCTAGCTGATAGCTGAAACAAATGTACCTTTCTATAGGTATTATTAAAGTAGCTTCTAATTCATGGCTAAAATCGAAGAATTGGATTGTATCGATGATTAATCACAAATGATTATACTTAAAAGATTAAGAAAAACAAATGGGAAAAGTTTGTAAGCTAAAAATTTCATAAATTTTGTAAAATATTTAACATTTATAATATGTGTATAATTTATTCGCTGGATTACAAATATTGATTACAGTTAGCTTCAAAGATGTCCAGCAAAGTACGTAGCATCAAATGTTATTTAGATAAATTTATAAGTTGAATATAGGAAATTTTGGCATTTGTCAATGTATAAAAATGAAATTCTTTATAAAATAATTTAACGAAAAATATGTGCAACGTATTACATCATACATTTCTTTTGTGTTAAAATACACACAATCATTTTGCAATATTCAACATGCAAAAATTATATTTATTAAATTGCTTTTTTCTATATACGAATATATCATAATACGAGGCACTTCATTGTTAAATTGGATATTAAATTTGTGATTTTTTAATATATTTGAATTTTAAATAATTACGCTAATTTTGCATATAAAAATTTAATATTTAAATTATTATATATCTTATCATCATATCTATTTCAAATTTAATCGATATAAATTAATATAATTTCAAAAATATGAAATGGTTGCGTCATCGTTATATGATGTAAGCAACTTAGGATTGTTTAAAAAAATTTAATATCCTTAAAATGGCTGCAGGTCGGTTATAAATACTAGAAAAAAACCTGTCTTAGCTTCATTAATAATGAAGCTTATTATATAATTGCCATAATTATTACTTATGATATGAATATTGCTATTACGCTATGTTCATATTTGTAAATAATACGATGACGTTTCTATAGATATAATTAGAGTACATGAAGTGAAATGATTTTTTAATAAGATATTTTATTTAATTTTTCAATTCATCTATATCAACTGATTATTATTTTTATCCGTGGTATCAATTTTGTGAATTTTATAAAGTTATTTTAACAATAATAAAATTTATAATTATAAATGAAAACTACCAACATATGTAATATTATGTCTTATTTAAATAGATAAATTTATGTGCAAATTATTTCATAAAATGAAAGGCTTTATTTATTATTTGATTAATTATTAAAAAATTTTGTAAGAATTAAAGAGTTTTAAGTATTCTATAATTTAATTAATTCTTCAATTTTTTAAGAATCTTATTTATATTTTTTTTAAGAACGCTATAATAAATATAACAAAATATTCCAACTCGACTGTAATTCTTAAAATTAGTAAAAAAAATTACTCTCTAAAGACTATTTTAAACATTAATGATGATGCTTTAATATTATGTGATATTAAGGAATAAATCAAATTGTTGCACGTTGTATAAAGTGTAATTATTTATTTACAGAAACCTGTATTTATATTATATCGATTAATAATATACAAGTCGATAATATGCAATATATAATTAGTAGTTCTATAAAATTTTATAACTTATATATATTTTAATGTTTCTAACCAATTTTTTTTAAATAAAAAATTTTGTAAAATACATATTTTAAAATACTAATTTCTAGATTTATGATATATTAAATACAATTATGCATTTTTTTGAATATGTAAAAATATATATACAGAGTCATTCTTGAGAAATCATTAAATAATTATTCAAAAGCAACAAATTAATTATTGAAGATCATTTCAATAAAATTTTCTAAAATACATATTTTAATTTTATTAATCGTCTATATAAATTTTAAAATAAATATTGTTTAAATATTTTAGATTTGAAAACATTTATACGATATTTTAAGTATCAAATCTACAAAGATTATTTAAATATACAAACAGTGCATCATTAAACAAATTCTAAATATGGAAAAATTCTAATTACAATTTTGATTATTATTTTAAATAGTTTAAAGTGGAAGTGAAATTTTGTTTGGTTCAATGTTACATTTTTATAACAAACTTATATACATCTATTATTCCTTGATATCGGAATTAATATAGTATTATGCTTATAATATTGAGCTTACATATAATATTACGCTTAATCGACATATATATTCACATTTTTTTTTAATTCTATTATTCTATTATTTTGGTATAAAGATATATAAATTAAAATAAATGCAAATTGAATAACCATATAAATAAAAAAATTACAATCGAAATACAATGACAAGTTATATATTTAATATATAAGTAATTTACTTCTTTTTGATTCAATAGTCATAAATAGAATTGTCGACAGATCTGAGAAATTTCTGAGTATTTCAGAAATAAAATATTTTTGATAAAAAATCAATATTATATTAAGAAATTGATTTTATTCGTTGCTATTTTCTTACCTAGAATGCCAATTTGTCTTATGCTATGGACCATTTCATTTGATTAAAAATGTACAGTATTTATAAAATAAACAGGAACATGTCACCATATTCATCTCTCGTTGTTGATGACAGAAATATTATTTTATATAACATAACAAGCTTTTTTTCATTCTTTTCTCTGTTTTTGAATTCGTAAAAATAAGTCTTCCCCCTTCAATTTTATGAGTCGGAAAAACATCCATCTATAATTCTATGATTTTATATATTTGATTATTACATAAAATCCTATGCATTGTATCTACAAGGCGCGTGCAGAAATTATGTTCATGTTATAAAAAAAAGTTATATATACTTGTCCTTTAACTTTTACAAGTATATCGAACAAATAAGTATCTAATGACTAAAACTTTCTTCTTCCGGAAATAATTTCTTGATAAAGTTCTGGTGTTATTTCGACGTATTCCTTGTTACCGGCTAGAAAATACATTTTGTCTTGAACTTTGTTCGGATCGAAACCATCCTTTTGAAGATTCATTTTCTGCAATTTAAATGTTCCAGTCATTTCAAGTTCTTTCACAATTCGCAGGAAAATTGGTCTTGCATATGCCGGCAGTGCTTTCTCTAAACCTTCTGCGAGAGCTTTGAAATCCAAAAGACTGTCCGGATCAACTATCGCTGCCATTCCTGCCCTTCCTTCCATTCCAGGTACCTTCAATGACATTATAATTATTTTTTTAAATTTGATTAAATCAAACTTTAAACATAATTATTTTTTTTAAAAAAAACCTGAACTCCGTAAACGGTAGAGGCTCTTTTTCCTGCAATACTACTGATAACTCCTTCCACTTCAGCGGTAGCAACATTTTCTCCCTTCCATCTATATGTGTCACCTACTCTGTCTTTAAAATAAAGATAACCAAATTCATCTTCTACTAAAATATCACCTGAAAAGAGAATTGAGAATAGATAATGTTTAATAAAAAAGGTTTAATGATTTTTAATTCAGTAGAAGAAATTATATATGTACTCACCTGTTAGAAAAGCTTTATCACCTTTAACAAACACATCTTGTATTATTTTTTTTTTCGATTCTTCCTTATCTAAATATCCATTAAATTCTCTTAACGCATTTCCTTCTTTTATCAATCCTATAAACATTCCTGGCTCATCTATATCACAAAGAAAAAATATTTATTTTTATATTTATATTTCTTTTTTTGACTAATGCTTAAAACAAAATATCAGTGTTAAAAATTCTTACTTGTTCCTGCTCTTATACATAAGCCATTTGAATCTCTCACAGGCTCATATGTCTGATTATTTACTCGGATAATTGCTAAAGGATGAAATCTTCGTGGCACAATTAATGGTACAAAACCAACGGCGCCAATCCGACCGTCAAAATTAGCTTTAATACATAATAAGAAATATTTAAGAAATTTTCTTTTATAGTTTTTTTTATTCTACTATAATTGAAATATCGAATCTTACAAATATTAGCATTTCCTTCACTGGATCCATAAAATTCAGAAACTCGTTTAATGTTAAAACGTTTGACGAATTCGTTCCAAATTTGTGGCCTCATACCATTTCCAAACATAAGTCTCAATCGATGTGCAGTATCTTCCGGTTTAGGTGGTGCACTCAGCAAGTAACGACACATTTCACCGATGTATTGTGCTGCCTGATAAATAAAATTACTGTTACACGATATAATATGCTAAATATGCTTAGTAATTAAATATCAATGATATAAAAAAATAATTTAATAAATCGTATAATTAATTTACGAAGAAATTTAAAATTTAAAATAATTTGAATATCTTAAAAATATTGATGATATCAGTAAATTTATTAATTTTTATAGAATTTAAATAATATTCAATGAAAAAATTTTTGATGACAAAAATTTTGCGTTTATCAAACAGATAAACTGTTCCTATTTTCGAAAATCTAATCGATATTGTGAGTAAAAAAAAAAAAAAAATCTAATCAAGCATCAATTTTACTGAGATCGTTATAGAATTTTTGTAAATCACCTACGGTACAGTTATATTTGATGCAATCTGTCCAATAAGCCGACACTGAAAACTTAGTCCTTAACACGTTCGGTACACCTTTAACAATCGCGAAACCTGCCCCAATCATTCCACCAGCTGTATGATACAATGGATTTGGATTGTATAAGATATCATCTTGTCTCATGCCCAATAATTTAAAAGGCATTATAGTCAGCAAGTATCTACAACGCAAAAATCATTATCCCTATTAAAACTATCATATTAAAACTAAATTGATAGCTCATATTTCTGTGTTTTCCTCTATAAATATTTTGATATTACATAGATAATAAAATAAATCGTATTATTGTATGATGATATTAATATGATAATCCCTTTTAATTTTAAATTGAAAAAAAATCGTTCAATTTTCTTGTTTATATAATTTTTCTATTAAAAGAAAAACTTTATGATTCGTAACAATAATTTTATCTTTTTTCAACACAAACGACATTCAGGATGAACGATATATTGAAGATTAATATAAAATATAAAGAATTAATTGAAAATTTATATAATAAACAAAGATGAATATTAATATAGACAGAAGTTATGAAATTTTATTAGTAAAACAGTCATAAGGCAAGCAGACAGGAAGCAGTTTCTAGGTAAAGCGACTACATTTACATGTAATCCTATTCTCGATGAGTCGTAAGGCTTTGCTGAGAGGATTATAGATCATTTATACGTTCAGCAGGGAAATCATTTATTCTTTGCATGGAACTGTGTCTAAGAATAAATGAAAGTTTAAAAACATTCCCATAAAAGTGATGCTCGCTTTAATAGAATAGAGTTCATTGTTTTCTATTAATAATTATTCTATAGTAAGAATAATAGGAATAAATAAGAAAGCAAAGAAAATGGAATAATCGAAAAATTAAGTTTCGACATAGTATAATCAATAATTATTTAATTGTAATCACTAAATTTATTCGATACATTGTCAATGAAAAATTATTGATTTAACTTCAAGTTTCTAGGAGAGATACTTTAATTTGTTGTTTAAGACTGACCCAGATTTGAAAGATCGATGCTTTTACATAATAAATGAAGTTTTGTGTCAAAGATTATAGTAAATTCTTGGATATAGATGTCCAATGATATTATTAACTGCCTTGACCACTTTCGAATTAAAGTTCAAAGCAAAAAAAAAAAGGTAAAACACGTGGAAACCTTTCAAATGATTTGATTATATATAAATTATTGTAGCAATATAGAGTTACTACTACTTTCGTCCCTATTTTTCTAAAAAAAAAAAAAGAAATTCTCTTACCTTGAATTGAGAATTATTGCTACTTTTGGTAAACCGGTGGTACCACTTGTGTAGATATACACCAATTTATCTCGATAAGTTGGTGGATCCTTTACTATCGGTTCACTTGTACCAGTTTCCGATATAAGTTCATTCAAATCGTATTCGCCATCCTCGCATTTAGATTTGTTACAGATTTTGTATTTTGTAATTCCCTGAATCGAATCCTTAATTTCATCGAGAGCTAGAGAAAAAAATTTCATTTTTTAATGTTTTATGTCGTTTAATTTTATTTATAAAACATAAAATCATAAAACAAATTATTAATTATTATTATTATTAGAAGAAGATTATAAAAATATTTCTTTCCAATTTAAAAAATGTTATTTATATTTAATTAAATTATTTTCTAAAAAAAATACTTTATATAAAAATATATTACTGTATTTTAATCAGACAGATACGTATTAAATAAACATTGATACATTTTAAATTCTCCCTTTTTCTTTTGCTATTTTCATAATTGACCGATCATAAATTATTGTATATCAATTTAATATTTACCAGACGAGTATTCTTCCATATAAATAATACTCTTCACTTTGGCGATACGAAGACAATGAATTAAAGATTGAAGACGTAAATTTGTATTAATCAGTGCAGTGATAACACCGAGTTTTCCCAGACCAAGCCATATCGCAACATGCTCTGGCCTATTTGACATCATTAAAGCCACTGCATCTCCTTTTACGTATCCCGCTTTTTGGAATACATTTGCTATTTGATTGCTATATTTATTAACCTGTAAATTTCAATTTTATATATATTATTATTATTATTATTATTATTATTATTATTATTATTATTATTATTATTATTACTATCTTTCTGTATTCATAGATAAAATTGGCGAAAGAAAATAGATAAATAATATAAATAAAAATGTAAGAAAAAATTGATGCAAAATATACGCGCATTATATTATTTAATTATAATGATAATATAATATTTTAATACATTTAATAGATCCTTCTTCCTTGATAAGTCTATCAATTCTAATTAAATTATTTTAAATCGTTTTAAATTATTGAATTTGTAAATTTTATTTAATACGTACATCAGAAAAAGTCCAAACTTGATCCTCGAAGAAAAAACAAGGTTTTTGAGGATTACGTTCCATTCTTTTCATAAATATAGCCGGGACAGTTAGATTATTTCGATCATGTTTTTTTATTTCTTTTTCTGCTGTAATAGCACGATAAAGAAATCTGGAAAATATAAATATTAGGATTTCATTTAAAGTTAAAAATTACTGATAAAACTTTTGCAGATAAAATTTCTTTAAAATTTTAATTTTATTTTATATGCATTTAAAACAAACAAACATCTATTCATTTATTATTTCTATTTCATATTTCATATGTAATAAATAAAATTGAAATAGAATCAATGTAAATTTTAATAAACGGATATCGATATATAATTATAATTAATTAAATTTATTATATATCTCGTAAAGTAATAATTTTTTGCTATAAGTGGCTTTATAGTTTTTTTTATGAGTTAAATTGCATTTATTAACCCATTAAAAAATATATAATTCCATTTAAAAAACAAATTTAAGCTTTATAAATCTTTTATATGTCTAAGAAAAAATTAAATATTATATCAAATTATATCAAAATATAACTCTTCGAAACTATTCAAATTTTATCTGAAATATTTTTTAATATTACAAAAACAAACGAGATATTCCAGATAATTTACGTATTCTCTTTATATTTCTCTTTATATAAAATCTTCTAGAATTAAAAAAAAAAAAAATCAAAAAATGACACTTCTCATTATAAAAAATAAATATATAAAAGATAAATATCTTTAGATTTAAGTAAATTGTAAAAAAAAAATTTGGAAATTTATAATAATATATAATATAATTTATAATAATATATAATGTCCAATTTTCAAACAGCAAAAATTTTTGGTCAAATTTTCGATTTTGTATTAGAAAAGTATAATTTAACAAATAATAGTACAAATTTTTCTTTTGAAAATTTTGAGACAAATATTTTTCAATTTTTTATTAGGATAATATAATTCTAAAAGAGATGACATAATTTTTCTAAAATTCATCTTATATTATACTTATTTTTTATACTTACCTTTCTCTATCTCTTTTTATTAATTATATTTTCAGTAATTAATCATTTCATGACAGTTTACTTAATTTTACAAAATTGAAAAACATGTAGAATTAGTATTTTTATATAAAATACGTCATTTGTTTTTGTATAATATATCAAGGGAGATAGGAATATGAAATATCACTTTATTTATAAATAATAAATTTTCTACCTATTAATTTTTATATATAAATTATAATTAAAACTTAAAAATTATGACTTTTCATATTTCAAGAGAAATTGCAAACAATATACATTCAATAGAATTTATTCTGATTTATTTTCTAAATCAAAATTTCAAAGTTTCAAAAATCAAGAAAGATATATTATTGTATGATTGTATAATAATTGTAGAATATTAATGGCAAATTAAATTCTATTATGTTTTTGATACCGACATATATAAAAACGACATATATTTGATTTTCACATGAGAATGCACACATAAATGTATTCTAAGTAACAGTATTATGTCTCGATTCAGTGGATATAAAAAACTCTTTTTATACAAGGCGAAAAACATACTATTTGCTATGAAATATAATAATGGAGGAACAATAATTGATGACTGATTTTTCCCATATCTTTTCATCATCTTTTAATCTTCTAATAATTTTTTAAATGTTCTTATTCAATTTTACATATTAACCTTTGCATATAATATTCGAAGTTTATTTAAACATTGATTTTAATAACTTCTTGCATCGAACAAAAATATCATAATTAATATCATATTCTCGATGTTGTCGTTCCTCTTATCACGTGATATAATCATTTCGTAATATATAAATAGATAAGATATATGTGTATTAATGAAACTAGACATTGTTTTTCCTAACATTCCGTCTATTTGATGAAACTTGTATAGGTCAGTGACCATGCACAATTCAAGGAATATGTCTGATATGTTTTCTCATCGAGAATATGAATAGAATAATTTGAAAAACAATTTTAAAGTCCACATTTGTGCATTCTATCTTATAAGTTGAATAAAAAAAAGTAAGATAAGATTGATAAAAAATTGTTTTAAAAATTGAAATAATCGGGTTAAACGGATGCTTTGTATTTATCACGATGAGTTATGAATACATAGAACAAAGGAAAATGTGCAAGTAAATGTGCAAGTAATAAAGATTGTCGATAGACTTGCGAAGACCTTATGCACTTTAAAAGAAGATCAATATACATAAATAACTATATAAATAAATAACTATTTCGCCATTTTCGAGAAAATATCAATAATTAAATAATGTTTTAAAAGAAAAATATTTTTTTATTCTCTAATTTTTTATTAACAAAATTTCGAACTTTTTATTCGTCATTTTTACTTTAGAAAATTGATAATACAGTATTTGAATACATCGATGAAAAGTTTTAAAATTTTTACTTCAATCTTATCACTATTTATATAACATTAATAATCATAAATTTGAAACTTACCTTATATCACGAGGTAGAATCTTGATCATGACATATAGCTTCCGATGAAATCTGCAGATGACAGGAAGCAATGCCAAAGCAAGCGCGATTTGGGCGATTTTGTTGAACCCAGGGAAACCGAATCTCGTTGCCACCACACCAAACATCGCAGCAATTACACCCAGGGCTAATAGTAGAAGTGTAACATCCATGATCTAGCGTCACTCACTCTGTTTACCGAGTTCTGTTACTTGTACCCCGAAACTGAAAAAAAAACGTAACAATTACTTCAATATAGAAAAATAAGATATCGAGGGTTATTTTTAGAAAAAAATATGACAAAAATTTGATATTTACTTATCAATTTAATTTTTCTCCACTTTACGTGTAAATAAATCAATATAGAGCAATTTATGTAGGACAATCATTCTTAGATATTTCAAAATTACGTAAGGTAGTAAAATCAGTAGCTTTATTTCTGAATCGTATAAAGTGCAACGATCAATACTTAGCATTTTAGGGTTTGACGACATGCCGATGTCAATTATTTATACATTCGAGTTTTTCAATTTACCGATTGATGTTTTATGAATTTAAGTCGCAAACGATACCATGGTTAGTGTTTTGGAACCAACAATAACGCATCGCAAACGATGTTTTCGTTTGAGAATGCTATATATCGTATAACCAATACCTTTACTACAATATAATTTTAAACTAAGAATTATTGCGAGTCAATCATTCTTTCTTTTAACGTTGCAAAAAATTATCTCTTTCAGAATCGCACGTGCTATTGAATCTTCCGCTATTGCTATAGAGACATGCGTGTACCACAACAAAGATCATTTATATCTACATATATATATATATATATATATATGCATTTTACGATCAATATTACATTCACAATCGCGTAAAACATCCCGTTTCATGCTTTAAAAATCATACGATTATTCTTTTTTGTTTTTATGAAATTGTATTTAATAGAAAATCAGGGAATTGATATTTCGAAAGATATAATATCATTAACATATTATATTATAATTTTTATCATCTAATTTTATGATTTTTTGACACAATGTAATTTTTTAATATTTTTTGTATGAAATGCCGGATAATTTTCATAATGATCTTTTTATTATAATTATACAATTGTACATAATGCACGGGGACTAGTACCTGACTCGTTTTACGAGGTACAAGAAGCACCACGGTTGATCCTGGATTAAAAATTGCACGAGACAGTATACAGATCAATATCCTGTGCTTCGCGGAGCGAAAAATGCCACTCTCGATTCACCAACAACACTAAGCGACTGGCTGAACGGCAGCTACTGCGTTCCGACGACACTTCGCTATTGCGCCACCACTGCAAATAATTCCTATACGATAGCATGCACACAAGGCTGCAAAAAATCGAAGTTTTATTTTAACAGGAATCTTAGCAACGTTTCTTCAATCCCACGTTTCCGAAGAACAACTACTAGGTTTTAGGCATGCTCAGCTACTCTGCGAATCGGAGCAAGCGCCGTTTCATTTTTATTTTTGATTTTAAATTTGTATTGAAAGAATTTTTAAAAATTAGATTAAAAATAAATGAAAAAAAACGAAAGAAAATTAAAATGGTCGACTAATAAAATTCGTTAGAATTGTTTCTTCAAATATGAAAATATTTGTGATAATTATAATTTATTTAATTTATTAATAAAATATATTTGCTATTCATCTTTTTTATTATAGAATTATATAAATATAATAAATATAATGGTATCAAAATTTATTTGTATAAATATATTTTATAATAAAGATTTAATTCAATAGAAAAATTATAATTTTATATAATAATATAGAATCAGATTGCAACGCCATCTATATATATTTGACAAATCTATTATAATTTTATCAATGATATTTTTATTGATTTTAGAATGATAGTAAATTGATTTTTTATTATCATTAATTTTTTGGATTACATGATATAATAAATGAATATATTGACAATTATAAACATGATAATAAAAGAATAATAATAAAAGAAATATATTAATATTATCTTATAAAATCATAAAATTTTTTATATTAATAATAATTAATTATATAGTATATTGAAATTGTTGAATAAATAATATATTATGTGCATATATAGGCGCGTAATCTGAGCAATGGATGCGTGATTAAGAATCAAACAGACGAAATAAAGATAATAAATCTAACTCTAAAATTTGTTTCGAATTCTATAAACTTTATTATCGGGATGCACATTTTTATGTATCATTTCTTTTGTCAAGTGTTTCAAAATATATAAATATATTTTATAAAATATTATAAAATATATATAAAATACAAAAATATGTATAATATTTATTATATGTATATAATATTTATAATATTTATAATATTATAATATTTCATCTGTGATTAAATAGATAAAGAAAAGAAATAATAAAAAAAGAATATAGATAGAGTAAAAATATTGAAATTAGCACCATTTTCAAAGTGCCGCAAATGAAACTCATAATGGAAAGACAGAAAATAATAGAAGAATAATTACGCTAGAATTGACTGTCAATACCATCAAGTAGTAAAAATATTTCTTTAAAATAATAAAGTAGAATTAGAATTGGAAATTAGCGCCATCTCTTGAATACTTTTAGAGAAATATTTACTAACATTAAATTACATTAAATTAAAAGATATAAATTAAAATCTAAATTTTTAAAAATAGTTTGATATTAATAATATCTAAATAATGAACATTTAATTAATAATTAAAAGTCATAAAAATTGTATTTTTCTTCATTATTTTTATTATATTATTCTAACATTATTTTTATATACTTATTAACATTATTTTATATAATTATACTTCTAGATGATTATACAATTCCTAAACAATGTTCTGTACAATTTTAAGATATTTATAATTATCAATTAAGAAAAAATATTGGATTAGTTTCAGAATATTTTTGAGAATTTAAATTTTAATTTAAAATAAATAATAATTAAAAAATTTTGCGTAAAAATCGAAAAATTTATAATTTTTCATTTTATTACGTGATGATTAGATTCATTTATCGTTATCATATTTACCGTATATATACATATTTTTAAAGCGTCACAATGTTCTTTTTTTGAATAATTTTTAAAATACATTTTTAATTATTAAACGGAAGAAAATATTTAAATATAATTATTCTTAAATTATATCCATTGTAATTTCTATTGAAATTAATTTGACTATTTATTCTTAAAAATATTTAAGAATTCTCATAATAATGAAAAATTTTAATGCAAATTTATTTAATCAAACATTTTTAAATTATTAGTTTTGTTAAAAAATTCATAATATATAAAATTCAGGAAAGAAATTATATAAATATAAAAGTTGATAAAATTTCTTTTATTGATAAAACTAAATATAAAAAGTATTAATATGAATAAAAAATAAAAAAATTATATTTGATAATACTTTCATTTATTTTTTTAATTTATAGAACATAATATATTTATATTTTATATAGAATAACATATAATTCAAAATATAATCTGATCTGTAATATATATATTTATGCAATAATAAATTTACTATTAAACATTATAATAATACAATAGATAATATAATAATGCATGTTTTAATTTTCAAAATAGATTTGATATTATTTTCAAATCAATTAAATTAAAAAACGAAATTTAATGCATTTTGAATTAATAATATAGATTTGAAATAATAATATACATTTATTTATAATTGCATAACAATATTAAAAGAATACTTATTAAATTAAAATTTAATTGATACATAAGTGAAAGTCGAAAAAATAAAAAAAAAAGTAAAGATATATTTGAAGCTAATTCATGAATAATAAAGCTTAAAGAACTATTCAATGCTGAAAATAAATAAAACATGATTGTTTTATATTAGACTATAAAACTAAATCATGCATTTATATATTATAATAAAATGTGTAGAAATTTGATAAAATAATATCATATTAATCTTGATTGTAATTCATATAAGTCTTTTACATTGAGCATCAGTAAAATTAAAAATAAAATAATAGGAATGTAACAGAAACTTTAATATAGAATTATTGATATAGAATCACATGCTTTAATTTTTAATATAATATTATCTGGTCACAATAACTTTATTATCCATGTTTTATTATTTTTAATACATATTTTATTGTTAAAATTTTTTTTTCAAATATATCACGTGTTGCTACAACACACTTATTATATAACAGAAAAACAAATATTAGGTGAAGATATATTAATTATTTCTTAAATTATAATATATGATTATGAATCGCGAAAAGTGTAGTTTTATTTTCCGTAAAAATATTTTAATTTATGATTTGTAGAATTAGTACGATTTGTAAAACAATGTAATTACTACTTTGTACAATTAGTAGTCATTCAATTGTATGACTATATATTAGATATACAACGATTTTAACATGAATTATATCTATCATTTTATTAGAATTATTTAATAAAGAATTTAAGCATAAAATGTAAATAAATGAAGAAAAAAAATGTCATTCTACCTTATAAATAAGCACCATTGACCATTACTGATTTGGAGCTAAGATAGGAAATGATGGGAAGACTTAATGAACGTCCTGAAAATAAATATATTTAAAAGTAAGTTTTTAATTAATTTAAAAAAAAAAAATTTGAAATATGAAAATTGTAGCAACTTACAGAGAAATTATCTAAGTTTGCCGAGCTGGATATAATTTTTATACATTGATGACCTACAATGATAAATATTCTAAAATAATAATAAATTTCTTTTATTCAATTTTTTGTAAACTTTTCTTGTTATATTCAGATACATCATCTAAATTCAAAATATCAAATTCTATGATATTTTTTCCAGCAAATTGTCCAAATACTCCACTTGATATGCTACGTTTGACAACTGTATAAAGACAATAAATAAAAATACATAAAATAAATATCTTACAAAATTATTAAATAATAATTATTAAATATAATAATAACTAACCATTTGAAGTTACGTTTGTCAACATATATGTAGGAAAATCTTGACATTCACGAGCAATATATGTTCCAACAACTGATAAATCAGTAATTGGTGGTGTAATTACTTTCATTGTTTCACGTACAATTTGTGTATTTACCTCATAATAACCTATATTACAAAATTAAATATTATATAATAATATTAATTATTTTTAAAATTCAAATTAATTTATTAAATTAGTAAATTATATAAAAATATAATATATAATTTAATAAATTATATAAAAATTACCATTATACATCTTTCTCAACAAATCATACATATTACGTGGTGGTAAGACTGTTTGACGATTAAGTGGCATTACAAAACAAGATTCTCCATCAATATCAATGATACCAGTTTTATTCTGTAATAAAAAAAATGAATATAAAATAATAAAAATATAAATATTTTATTTAATATTCAAATTTTTAATAAATTAAAACTCACAATATTAAAATCATGTATAAAACGACCTTGACGTCCACCACGAAAATCTGGTACATCTATTTTCTCATAGTGCTCATTCTCCAAATCAATTTCAAATCGCTCCTTGAAAAAGCTTCTAATATCACTATCTACATTTTTTTCAATATCCATAGCTTCTCGTTCTGTAGCTCTTGTCAAACTTTTTAAAATTAGATCAGAATCTGCTATCAAACTTTGATGTACTGCATCTTTGGCATAAGGTGGTTTGTTTGACTTGTCATAAGGAATGCTATACCATCCTGTTTTAAACTTGTGCATCTGTGTTCTTGCATATTGTCTATATATGTATAATCCACCAATAACTCCAATTATAAGAATCATTAATGCAACAAGAAACAATAAAAATGTTGCAGTTACATGAATACGATATATGCTTCTTCTAGAAACAAAGTAATGACCTCCTACATCAGACTTCAAACATTGTGCCTCTGCATCTCTTTTACCATTTTCCTATTTAAATAAAGATATATATATTTCCTATTTAAATAAAGATATATATATATTTCCTATTTAAATAAAGATATATAAATAAATATATATAAAAAGTTTAATAAAGATGAAAAAAAAAATATATTATATGTTTATAATAATTAAACAAAAAATTTTTGTTTTCATAATAATTTTTTAGAAAAGAAAAAATTTAACTTCATTTATATCAAGAAAAAGAAACAAAGAAAAAAAATTATAATTCCATCACTATACGTTATCATATATATAATCGCTAGTCTACGATAATGGAAAATATATGTAACGAACTATTAAACGACATCATAAAATTTATCACGTACACAACATTCCATAAATTAAAAAATTAAAATAATATTTATTAATATAAGTAAATTTATTTAAAATGAACAAAATTCGAAAAAATGTAAATAATCAAAAATTGAATATTTATTTACGAACAAAAAACTACATTTAGAAATTTTATAATTTTTCTATCAAACTTTTGTTTTTAAAAATATCAAAATATTATTAATTTAAAGTTCGATAAAAAATGCATAATAAAAATGATGCTAACCGCTGGATTTTCTTCAACAAATAATGATTGTTCTTTTTTATCCGCCTTCTTCTCAGTAATGGCTTTTGTGATGATCGTCATCTTGAATGATGTTTTGATTTCAGTACTCTTTAACTATTAATAGATCTTTTGTATAAAAATCTTTTTCATGTGTTTATTCGTATAATTATAGCGAATAGTCACTATACTTGAATAATTGACAAAGATAATAGTAACGGTAACACTATGACAGATATCGCATACTATATCCACAAAATTTGAGGATGAACTACTTACATACATACATATGCAACTGAGATTGATCGGTGACAACCGCGCCCTCAATGCACTAATAAATATTATTTGCGCATGCGTCAATTAAAAATTGTTTCTTGTTTCCTATATACATATTTTTATGTATATGCCTAACTGTATATACATACAAAAGCATATACAAAAAACACTTATTTATAAAATTGTAATATTATCGCATTTTTTATCGTTTAAGTTCATTATTTCTTATCGTTTTTATCATATTTCTTATCAGCATAAGGACATTATGGATGAAATTCAGTGTTCTTTCAAAGATATCAAATCAAAGAATAAAAATGAACAAGAAAATGATTCGATAAAAAAGGAAAAAGTACTTATTAAATATACAGAGCTCGATCATAATGAGTTAGTAAAGCTAACTAAAGAAGCAATTCATAACATAATCGAAAGTGATCCGTTACTTTCTGGTCTACCAACAGATGTTACAATCGAAGAGCTTAAAGCTCAAATTGCAGTTGCACAAGGACAAGCAATAACTTTATATTTGAATCGTGGAGAATTACCAAAACTTGGAATTGTGGTAATATTTTTTTTCAATAAATTTCTACATTTTAAATATATGTATTTTTATTATTATTCATTTAATATCATTTGTACATAACATTGATTATATTTAACAATTAAAGAATTTCAAAAATAATTTAATTTAAACAGAATTCTTTTTAAATCATTCTAACTTAATTCCTTATGTATTTAGGTACCTCCACATAATACCACAGTTTTGGATCTCAAGAAAGCTATAAAGCGTCATACAAATTTAGCTCTGAAGAGAGAAAAAATTAAAAAAAAAATAAGTTGGAAACATATTTGGAAAAAATATCATTTATGTTTTGAAAATATTAAATTAATAAATGATAATGAAAATATAAAAGCTTATGGAATTACAAACAAAGCAGAATTATATTATTTAAAACGACGCAGGGAAAAAAATAAATTAATAAAACATTCTTAATTTCTATATAAATTATATGATATGTAAATACTGTATTTTTAAATTTTATGAAATAATATATATTATTTATATAAATTATTTTTATTTTTTATACATTAAGTACTTGGTAAATGTTTATATTTTGATTGTTGAATTTGACATGTTAAATATGGATTAACATCTTCTAACATGAAACAAGTTAAATCAAATGCTGCAGATCCATAAAAGTTTGTTACAATTAATGTTTTTAAATTAGGCATTCTATATAATGCTTCTATTCCTCTTTCCGTTACATTTTTACATTCTGATATGTCAAGTTTTTCTAACATTGGATATTCTGCAGACAATTTATCTAAATACCAATCATTAATTGATTTACAACCTCTGAGGTTAAGTGATTTTAAATAATGAAGATTAAAAATAAAATGAAGATGTTGATATCGTATAGGATATCCATTTAAATCTAATTCTTCTAAAATGTAATTAGCATAACATTTATTTAATAAATTAGAAATTTTATACTTTTTAGTTTTACCTATCCATTCATTATGATTTTTGAACCTTACTTTACCACCCATTTCTACAATAAATAGAGCTGCTGCTAAATCTGGACCAAATTTTACATATTTTTGATATTGATCATTTTCTATATGTTCTTGAAGATCATCTTTTTTACGTTTCCACCATTCATGAAAGCGAAATGTAAAAAAATCATATGTATTTGGTGCTTCATTACTTATAAATGTTCCTTCTGGTGCTTTTCTTTTAATTTTATAATAATCTTCTGATTTTTCAGATCCAACGTCAATTTGACGTTTACGTAAATACTTTATGAAATGAATAATAGCTTCGTAATTATCATAGAATTTATAACGGATAATCTCATTAACTTTTAATGGATTATAAACAGTTTTATAATCAGAAATTTGTTTAAATAACATCCGAGAATAACGGTGATATAACATTTTTGTTACACTGTTGCTTTTTATGAATAATATCTTTATATTGTAAATAAATGTTATAAATTTATCAATTTTTTGTTTAAAATATCTTTTGTATAAAATATTTGTATAAAATATAATATGATTTACATAAAATTCATTTAAAACACAATATTTTTATTGAAATTTAGAATTTCTTTACGTAATGGAACACCACATGTGCAATGAAGCAATACTATGTTACATATCTTGAATTAATGTTAACATAGTATTCTATATATGTATATTTACCGCTAAAATTAAATTTTTAAAATTTTATAAATTATAAAGAGGAAAAAGAATTTTCGTGAAAACATTTTCTTTATATTATTTAATATGATTAGTGATTATTTAATATGATAGTTAATAAAAAACTAACAAATTTTGTCATGTGAATAATCATCATATATATATTTATATTGAAAATTATTCTAATAATTATTATAATAATATTATAATAATTAATTAAATAATATTGAATATGTCTTTTTATTATTTTTTTATCGCAATAAAAATTTTATATTCATACACATATATACATATATCTTAAGAAAATATTATTATTTATATTATTAATTAATTAAATGTCAATACATATTGCTTAAAATAATAAATTTTTAGTACTTTATTATAATATTAAATTAATATTATAATATTTTAAATAATTTAAAATTAAAAAATATTTATAATAAGTGGTTTAAATATGTAAGTTCATAATATGTAATTAATTCAATATTTATTTATATTTTTTATTATTTATATTATTTATATTATTTATATTTTTTATGTTGTACATTCATACATAATAACATAATATTGCAATAAAAATGTATAGAAATAACAAAAAAGTATAAAATATTAAATTTGATAAAATTACATTTATATTTTAAATTGTACCATTACATTCATGTAAAATTATTCAAAATTGACATGTGTCAAGTATTTACGTAAACGAATGTTCAATATTTAATATCGATAGTAATCAATTTATATTTTGCGATAAAAACTTTTGTTAAAGATTTACTTAATATTATTGCAATATATTTCGTAATTTATTCAAAAGATTTAAGGTATGAAAAGATGTTTAACAGAATCTGCATTCATGTAGTAATTTTTTAAATAATGTAATAAAAAGAATCTAATATTCAATATGAATAATATCATTTTAATAATTGTACTTTAATTCAAGGTATTAAATATTTTTGAATTCATATAAAGTTATATTATTTAGTGGTGCACAATTTATTAAAAATCTTGTCAAAATGATGGAAGATATGCAAGAAGAGGTTAGTATTTTTTTCGTTTTTGATACAATATTTTTATTTTCTATTTTCCAATTGTCAGAATATATTAATAAGCTATATAAATTTATATTTTTCCTTTTTAAAGTAATTAACTCTATATTTTATGAAATATTTATTTTAATGAAAACTTTACTAATATTTAATATTGACAGTTTATTTCATAATTTACATTTGATTTAATAATTTCATTATATAATCTATCATTATTTTAGACCCAATTTGTGGTCGATGATGTAAGCAAAATTATTAAAGAAGCAATTGAAGTATCTATTGGAGGAAATGCTTATCAACATAGTAAAGTAAATCAATGGACATCAAATGTTGTTGAAGCATGTTTGGGAAATCTTACAAAACTTCAGAAACCATATAAATATATAGGTATATATAGGTGTTTTTACAATTCAAAGTTAATTTTTTACTTTTAAATTATTTGTTTATTAAATTAAAAACTTGTTTTAGTGACTTGTACTATAATGCAAAAAAATGGAGCAGGATTGCATACTGCGAGCTCATGCTATTGGGATAATGCTACTGATGGTAGTTGTACAGTGCGTTGGGAAAACAAAACAATGTATTGTATTGTTTCTGTATTTGGTCTAGCAATTTAATTGATTTTAGTAATTCGTACACAAGCAAAAGCTTCTGATAAATATATTAAAAAATAATAAGTAACAAAATTTCATCTAATAAATTAAAAAATTATAGTAATTATGGTGCAGGAAATATAAAATCTATTTTACATAATAGTCTTTTTTTTTTTTAGTAATATGATGTATTTTTTATATTACAAATACATTGCATTTAAGACATTAATTATTGTATTTATTAATTAAAAAGTATTTTATATATATATATAAAATTCTTTTTAATATCATATATATATATATATATATATATATATATTTATTTATTTTATTTATTTATTTATTATAACGGAAAAATAATATTAAAAACATGTATTTTATTATTTTGTAAGTTTTATATAAATGTACTTTATTATTTACACTTCTTTTGCACAAAAAATATTATTGTTTTTATTCGAATTTTATAATAATTAATCATATATCTTATCTAACATAAAAATATACAGTCATGTTTTTGATACACGTCAAAGTGCAAAATATATGAATATTTTTCGAAAATGAATATAAGGTACGTGTAATATTTATTTATCTGTATTGTATTCCAACTAAATTGGAACTTTATAATTATGTAATATTGCTTATTTTTTTTAAAGTAAAATGTAATAAATTATTAGTAACTTAAAATAACATTGTTTATTTAGTAATTATTCTATAGTAGTCTATAGATTTGATATTTCGGATAAAAAATCCTCGTCAATTGGTAAATTTTCATGTAGCAAAACCATATTAACATTTAAACTATCACCAAATTCATCGTCTATATATAAATCTTCGATTGTATTGTCTGGAATATCCTGTAATAATATAAAGGTAAAAATATTTATTAATTTATTCATACTTTTTTATTAATTAACAAAACATATATATAAGCATTTAATGAAATGCTTACCCCTCTGCGTATAGGTAATTTTCCTAAAGCTGAATTGTTAATTGTTCTCAATTGGCTCAATGTTGCTGGTAAGGAACGCCGCCTTGGTAAAGTACTTTGATAACATGTTTTGCAATTTTTATTGTTTGGAGTGTCATTTATGAACATTAAATCAAAGTTTGTTATAATAGATTTCGATTCATTTTCCTTAATTTTCAATTTAGTATCATAATTGTTCTGAAATATTCCATTTTGTACTTCTAAGGATTTAGCATTATCCTCAATAATAATTATTTCATCATTTGAAGATTCAATCTTTTCTTTTTTCGATATTGTATCATTATACGAATTGTTAAATTCATTCGATACTTCGGCAATACATTCGCAAACAAAATTTCTGCTACATGTTGTATTGTACGAACGAGTGCATGTTTCAATACTGGCAATACTAACATCAATATTGTTATTAGGTTTTTTTTGTGTTTCATCATTAATTATTGCGTTATCTATATTAGATTCATTAAACAAAAATGTTTCGTTTTTCGTTATTGATCGTTCAATATTTTTAATTTCTTCATTGTCGTCGTTAACTTGTAAGTCATATAGATTTTCGAAAATATATTTATTATCTTGATTATTGTCCCCTGTTACTTCAAAATCTTGGTAGGATCTAAATGTAGGAGATTGACATAATTCGTTTGTATTTGGTGTAATGGAACGAACAATTTTTGTAGCTCTGTCTAAAGCGTCTTTTAAGATTTGCAAAGGTTCACTTTGACTAGGTGTTATAGAATTATTCATATTTTCTGATACTTGTGTAAATCCTTCCTGGCTGGTTTCTGTTTCAGTTGCTAATTTTATAATAAAGATTATATATATAGTTTTATAATAAAGATTAATTGTTACACTAAAGATAAAAAAATATTAAAATGTTGTAGAATAGAACAATTTCTCTAGAATAATTAAGCAGTAGCAATAGTTTTCTGCTATCTTAAAATAAAAAAGTTAAAAAAATATTTTAATTTTATTATATATATATTAATGCATTACCTTCCGTTTTACTTTTTATGACATAAGTATTATCGCTATTAATAGATATCGATTCTGTTGTTTGATTTTTGGTCACAGTTTCAACAGAGACAGTATCGCTTTCATCTGTCTGTTGTGCAAGATAGCGCGGCTATAATAAAGTTAATATAATAAAATTCATTACAATAATTTTTTCTAAAATTTTAAAAAATAAAATAATATAAATTCTTACGGATTCATCAGCACAAATTCTTCTCATTTTGGATAAACAAATTAATTTCTCTTTTCTCCACAAAGAAGTTTCGAAAAAGCTTTGAGGATCGGAATTTAATACTTGTGGTTGTATTATTGCATCTTTAATACTTTCAGGTGTATGTAAATAGGGAATCTATAATATTATATTAGAAAATAATAGATTTTAGATTGATTATTAAAGCATGTTTCATGTTTTAAAGAAAATCATACCTTACGATATGATTGAAACGTTGATTTTAAATAAGACGAATCATACTGATTGGGAGATTTATTGCATTTTGGCTCTATACTAGTTCTATGACTAGCTGGTTTATGTGGTTCGTAATCCTTGCTTTTTATTTCGGTGAATATCTTATCTCTAATGGTTGGGCCTAATTATAAAAAAATTTTAAAAAATATCATAGATTTTTTTATCATTTTTATTATGTATTTATGTAAAATAGTATACTAATAATATAATAAAAGAAAAAAATTCATACATACTTATATCTGTAGATACAGGTGATGAATCACTACCATAGAAAAAATGTTCCCTTTTGCTCGCTAATACTTTTTTTAATTGTTTCAAATTAGTTCTTGCGTCTTTGAAGGATTCATCATCCGTGGATTCTAACAATGGCGATGAATACATAGATGTTGTTCTTGATTCTGCTATTTCCTGTGGTGCTTTGACTTTTTTATATGTACTATTCCATGGTTGTAAGATTTCTTTTGCATTAGATTCTTCTTCATTTTGAATGATATCCGGTATTTTTTTAGTATAAGTCGGATAGTCAATTTTTTTACAATTATTGTGTAAATTGTTGAAAATATTCGTATTTTTTTTTATATCGTTTCTGGCATTGCCTTTAATATCGTCAACAAAAAAATCCATTTCTTCATCATGAGATTCTTGGTTTAAAGTTTGTTTGGACATTGATTTTTTCAAATGCAAATGTTGTTTTGACGGAGAATCCGCATTTTTTGAGGAATAAGATAATTGTTTGGTTGAGAGGCTTCTGAATAATTTCGAACTCTTATTTTTTAAAATAGGAGATTTCTTTTGCAAGATGTAAGTTTTTTGTAAGATCTCATTATTGTTATTATTCATATACTGATCGATATATACTGGTTCTACATTCTCGTATTGCAGCTAAAATATTATATTATTATTATAATTTTTTTTATAAAAATGGTGTTAAAAGAGAATCTAAATTTTTTTAAAAATCAAAAATTAAACAAAAAATTTAGTTCTATTAATATATTTAATAAAGTATTTAGCATTTATTTGAAAGATATATAAAGAATTTAATATTTTATTGAAGTCTAAATCTAAACATTTTTACGATTAAAATAATATACCTCTAACTTTTGAAGAAATCTACGCATTCTATTCATATCCAATGTCCTTTTATTAACATCTAATTGCAATCCAGCTTCTAATAAATTATACAATAACGGTGGAAAATTATACAAATCCATAATAACACCACGTTTCCAATGTACATATTGTCTTTCAACATCTGCCTTATTATATCCATTCCAAGGTACATGCACTATTCATCAGATTAAAAATCAATATCTTTTTATTAAAAATTAATAATTTTAAAGAATAGATAGACATATATATACTATTATAGACTATATTTATAGACTATACATATAGGATATATCATATATAAAGTCTGAAATTAGTTGTATTTAGAAACAAATAGAAAATTAGAAAATTATTTTTTCAATTGTAAATTCCAAAAAAAATTTTAAATATTTTGCATATTTATAATAGTAGATGAAATTTTTTTCATCGTACGAAATAAAATGTTGAAAATCAAGCAGCTGTTGAAACTATTTAATAGCAAATAAAATCTCAACAAATGTGATTTCCTTTCCTTATCGGTTCTAAACCAGTTTTATATCGAAAGGTTGGTGGTATTTCTAGTTGAAAAGTTAATCTCGTAATCGTTCAGGTTCAGGTGAAGAAATCCACGCGCATGAAATTCCTCGAATACTCAAATTTCATTCAAGATTATTATAAGTATGATTAAAATGCATTGAGAAATTTGATAAATAAGATAAATTTCAAGAAAGATCGAAAATAAGATCTATTTAATTTGATTAAATACTTACTTGTACACATTTCCCAAATTAATAAAGCCAATCCATAAACATCGCTCTCCTTATATGGTTCGTAACCATGAAAAAGTTCTGGAGCTTGCCAGCGGAAAACTTCGGCACGTAAACGTTCCTCGTATTCTCTCTTTGGTTTTGGCTGTAGTTGAATTACAAAATAAAAAATAATCAAAAAAGCATTGTAAAATATTTAAAACATTAGATAACAGATTTTAGAGTGATAATATTTATTTTTATTGTAGTATTGTTGTAATATTTATCTTTTATCTTTTCTATGATTCAATAATATATTATATCTGTTATTTATATTAAAATATCTTCTATTTCATATATATTGCAATACATAAATATTGCAATATTAAATATGTTTGCGAAAAAACTCAAACATAAAAATTGGTGTGAAAGCAAGTGGTTTGAAAGCAAGATTGCAAAAAATTCGCAGAATTTATCTAAATCTTCGCGCATATATTAGGTCACACTAATTCCCATCATTCTAATCTTTTATTATCTGCTAATTTATATGCTTATTTCATAAATTATAACATTAGTGTCATATTTACATTATTTGAAACAATAGGAAAAATTTTTTAATAATTTATAAAAAAAGAGATATATGATGAAAAATAGAAGATAAGATTTTAATGAAAAGCTAATTAAATATATACATATGTACCTGGATTTTTTAAAACAATTAATAACTTGACGAAAACATTTTTCGAACGAATAATCTTTTGATTATTTTTATTAAAGAAAAAAATATTTGTGTAAAATAAAAATTTTGCATTTCAAAAAATATAAAGTTATGCATTATAGTATAAAGTTGATGAAAATAATAGTAGATATGTTTATGTGCGTTTAATTTGATCATCTATTCAAAAATAGTGTACACGACAAATTTAGTTATCTATACTATCTATTTATACTATCATTTACGTGAATTTCCATGCTTCAGTCGTTCAATATAATTAAGATTATGTCACGGTACGGTGATTTTATTCAAAAATGAACATTTTGTGAGAAGCAACGCTGACAATTTCCTGCCGCGAAATACTGTTAGGTGTGCCGCCAATGAAAAAACGGATATGACGCTACATTGACTTAATTTTAACTATTTATACTTTACGACATTTATAATATTATTATAATTACGAGATTTTATGTGAATCGTTGTTGAAAATACTAAATACAGATTTCGAATTGTAAAACATCATTAATTTTTTCACAGAAATTTCGACAGAAATATACTTATGTAATGTGTGAATTATTTTCCATAAATTCTCGATTTATAGATAGTAGTATAATAATCAATTCATTTAATTTTCAATAGTGAAATCAACTTTCAACATATTATTTCTTACTTTTATTGTTCTTTATGATTAGACTTTTCCTTTCATTAATAATAACTTAATAATTTATTTAATGAAGAATAATTATTTATTGATTTCGTGAAAGTTGTTTCACATTAAAATAATAATATAATTGCAAAATAATAATATACCCATATTTTTGTTTATAAATATTTTGCATTATTTTCAAGAAAATAGAAAAGAATTATGTTTTGAAATAATATTCTTTATTTATGATTTTATTTTATTCTTAGATTTTATTTTAACTGATAAAATATCATAAGTATATAATATTCATTGAGATGATAAGCAAAAAATAAAGTTTTAAAAACATAATATCATTAAAAAATGTTGAATTCAATGTTATAACGAAATTTAAGATATTTCATACATTATCATACATTATAACAACTAAATATATTCACTTACATTGTTGATGTGCATGGCCAGTTCCCATCCACCTAGTTTTATGATACCATTAGAAGCCAGGTAGACGCAATGCGAACTGATGGCAGTATGCACATATCCGCGCATGTGAGAATGTCTTAAAGCATCGGATAGTCTTCCCCCGCATTTTGCAATACCTTGCATGGATATTCGTTCACCCTGATCGTGCATATAATGATAGAGGGTACAATCAACAGATTCAAAAATAGAGACTAAACCATGATCGTCAGTAAAGGTGGTGGCCATTAACAATAGCACGTTAGGGTGTCGAATTTCCCTGAACAAAAACATAAGTACTATATACAGATAATTGTTAATAAAATAAATTATGAAAAAATAAAATTTTAAAAATAATATGTATAAATTTAATTTTTTTTTATATTATTATTATTTTCAAAAATTACTATTAGATAACAATTTATTTTTTAATTTTTTTTATTAATTTAATATCAATAAAATTCCATTATTTTATACGATATTAATCGGTACATACGAAAGTATATCTAAATCTGCTTTCACAGCATCTTTGCATTCCGGATGTGAATGCCTCTTCAGTGAAACTCGAGTATTTTGCCATTCGGCAAAAATTAACTCGAGATATCGATCTTCTGTGCCGGCTATCCATCCAATTTCAAAAATTTCAGGAGCTGCTATATGTGGTACACCTGGTATAAATGATTTTAATTCTTGTGATTTCCATTTATTATCGCATTTATTGTTATTATTTTTCGATGAAAGATCGGCTCTTAATTTATCAGGACTATTCGATGTCTCAATCTCCACGTCATTGGAAGATCGTCTTCGATCTATGAAAGCTTGTAGAGCATTACGATAAGACTCGCTAAAATCAGAAATGAAAATATTGTAAGTAATATTTAAATATTTATATTTTCATCAATATATAATTTTATATTCAATAACTACTTTGATCTATTAAACTTATTTAATTTTATTAAATTATTATATTTCTTAATTTATAAATCATATAAATAAGTTAATTGAGAAATATTAATTTTCATTTGAAAGAATCAAATGAATTATTTGATTTATATTTACTTGATTTTCCAATTTTATATATATTTATTAGTACTTTAACCTACATTTTATATTATAAATCACACATATATTATATATATATTGTTAATTAATATTATACAAAATATTTGTATTAACTTTTGTGCACATTCACAAATTGAGAACCTTTTCAAATTTACACTACTTTTAACATAAAACGAAAATTTCACATATGACAAAGGATAAAACGAAAAACAATTGATATTCTTATAAGATACTAACATTACGCAGTACCAAAGTGTAATCGATATATGTAAATAGAAAGTCAGAATAATAATAATAATGTAGTGTAAAAACTAGAAAACATTGCAATCTTAATCGAAGAATAAAATATGATAAAGCATTGATCAGAACTATAGCGGATGCTGTCAGTTTGAATTTTCTTCACAATGTATATATACGATATAGGTTAAGAGTTTATTTTTTTCATACGAAAAGTATAACACTTACTTGACAGTATGTCTGCGATTGTATTTCATTCCTTGTCTGTTCTTCACACCATCTGTCATTTTTAAAATGAAAATAATCGAACTCTGTTCTATGTCCACTTAATACGTCCCTTAAAATTATTTCTATGGTGGCACTACCGGTATAGTGGTAACGCGTGTATCTATTAGATCGAATTATCGATCTTATATCGATAAAAATATTAACTGACATTTGCCATTGGTCATGCTTGAATTTCTCGAATTATGATTGGCACATTGCGAATTTGAATTTTTAAGAAGTGGTTATAACGTTGTTGTGATTGACGAGTCAGTTTCTCAATGTAAAATAAGTAAAATTTTTAAAAATATGTCAAAGTGTTTGATAAGTAAGCAACATTTGTTATAATTAAATAGTATTCGAATGAATTTTGGATTTTTGCATGAATATAAAAAAATATATAATATAAATTTTAAAATCCTAACCAATATAACTCTTATCGATCAATTGATTGCAGTAATACATAATTTTTCATCGAACATGACAATAATTATTTTTTTGTTTAGTTGTGAAGTTTAACATCATCGCAATAAAATTCGATCCAATACTTTTGAGAGAAAAAAATAGAAGTATTATAATGCCTTTGGATTGCTATACGTGCAACAGCATATGGTGAGTACTCATTTTATTGAATAAAAAACTTGTTTTACGAGTATCACATGTTTGTATTATCTTAGAACGTGTAATGAAGTTGTCATATGTTCCTATTATTTAATAATATACATGAAAAATTTATACTAATAAGTATATTTTATGTTGTAATTTACATTATAATTTAATTAACCTTTGCAATTTGCGTAAAATTAGATAATTTTAGGGAAATATCAAATGTAATAACTTACTTATTCAGGCCATACTGCTTTTGTGTTAAATTCCATCCATTTCGATCTCGTATGGTATCTCTGAAAAAATATTTAGTACATTCATGTCATTGAATTCATAATAATTGAAAAAAAAGTTAAAAAGCGAACAATTTGGTATATTGAATTTATTCGATCGATAAGTAAAGAAAAATATCGATATTTCTAATATGTAGTTATTTTCGAAGAAAATAGATATTAAATTATTGTAAGCGATATATAATAATATTATTGATATAATAACAAGATTCTTTAGAGAAAAAATAATAATTAGATATATCAGTTTTATTTGGTTATGATCCAAAGAACTAGGGAGGTTAGTAGAACGACTCGACTAGGAAAAAACGAAGCATCGCGGAAAGTGAATAGTCTATGTCTGTTCTTCACTTGCGAAATTCCAGATTCTATGAACTTGTTTATACTTTCTCCGATTCCTTTTTCATGGATCGTAGAGCAACGACACTACCGACATGATTATTCTTTTCCTATTTTGTATTTCTTCCTGTGTTTGTTTTTTTCATTTTATACATCAACTGTAACGTAATCGCATGGTAATTTAAGATGAATGATTCATGATTTAGACAGATAAAATGATTTATCGAAAGATAAAATTAATAGTATTAGAATTTACTAGAATCCTCCTATTCTTTATTTAATAAATATATTTACAATTTCAATTCAAAGATTTTATTTAGGAAATTTAATAACTTATTACAAAAATTTTGTCTTTTATCTAAAAATGTATTATTTGAAATTAGTTTTTTAAAAAATAAATTGCAGAGAAAATAAATGTACTTACAATTGAAGAAATGAAGCGTAAACGGCAATTTCTTCAATTGAATTTAAAGTATTAGGCAGAGTTTCGTTAAAGAATCTCTGCAACCAATTGCCAGAACAATCAATTAAACTCTGCGTAATGGTTATACCGATGGTTGAAATTGATCCTAATAGTACTGGATTGTTTTTGTTTTTTGTAAATGTTTACGCTAATTAACTTTTATTTAATTCCATTGAAATAATATTTTTTATAAATAATATTTTATATTATTACAATATTAAATCCAACGAGAATATTTTTAGTTATAAATTGCACGTTCAATTATAAAACAAATTTAATTTCATGTTATAATTAATTTTAAATTTAATTTAAATTTATATTTAAATTTAAAATATAATTAAATATAAATTTAATTAAATTGAAAAAAAATTAATTCATTTCTTTAATTTGAAATTTAAATAATATATAATAAAATTAAATTAAACGATGTATAAAGTGTATTGGAATCACATACTTTACAGTAATAATGTAAAATATTTTGTTGATGCTATCTCTTGTAAGTTCTATCTCGGTTAAACCGATACCGACTATCGACGAACACAGGACGAAATATAATTAAGACTTTCCAATTCATACTCGAAGAAGACCGATATATTTTATCTTGTAGCTGTATATAAGAATTTTATATTCTTTGAAATTCAATATAAGAATAGTAACAACGTACACGATTTACAGAATAATCAATTTTTATTTCTATTTCTATGCCGGTGAAATCAGGAAGATAATGATAATAGCCGTAATGATAATGCAATCTGATAAACTGTAATCTACTAACGGGTGCGAATGCTAATAGTGCAAAAGTAGTACACTTCCGCGATTCAATTCATTTGAATATATTCACTTAATTAATGTTAAATACCAGCGTGGGTTCGTTAAGAAGAATATCAAAATATTAGCAAGAGGCTGATGGCTTGTTTGATGATCACTTGATTTCATAATAATCTTCGTTGGAATTGAGAAAAGGATACTAAATGAAAAAAATTTCACAATCCATAGACACACAACAAATTATAATCGTAGAATTTTAAAAATGAATTTCGTGGGATAAAAAACATCATGTAGTAGAAAATATGTGCTAGATACATATTTTGTTCACATGAGATCCAGATTAATCAGGATAAAATAAGAAAATCAAATGTAAATACTATATCCTATGGCCGCATTTCACATTTCTTGTACTAGTAAACTAGATATAAACTATATAACTATATACTATAAACTAGTTATAATTTTTCTCCAATTATAAGTAGTTCACTAATAATATTATAATGTTTAATTATAAAATTATTATATACATGTTATATATATATAATGATTAATTACAAGATAATATTAATTAATAAAATTGATTTAAAAATCTTTTCTTTTTTTTTTTTAGTTAAAAAGTCTTAAAAATAACAATTTAAATGTATAACATTACTTTTAGATTTAATTTACTACGTATAAAAGATTCAAATGGAAAGTAGAGAAATTTCATAAATATTTATTATCAACTTATGCAACTTAGAACATTAAACAAAATTTATGCATTAAAAATAATATCGAGTAATAGAGGAATATCAGTTTCATGCTATTCTTTACCTCTCGTTAAAATATAAATTTTGTTACATAATTATTATTTTGTATTTAAAAAAATCTAATACAATATGATTTCTCGAAGTATCTTACGTGATAATTAACGTGAATGGGAAACAAGATATTTTAACTTTGCTCTTTAAATTAATACTGTAGAGGTTTCTATGCAATCCCCGTTGATACCACGACATAATTAATATTAACAGAGAAAACAGAGTACAGTATATTAGTATGCTTAATAAATCTTTATTATGTGCTCGTGAAGCAAGAACTGACCTGCCGCTATTCTCAAATCTATATCGTCACAGTTTCATTCATCAGCAATTATGCAATGTAAAATAAGATAATTTGTGAATTTTTTTCGCGATCAAGAATAAACATTAGAATAAACGTCTAAAAGAAAGTAAATACGTTGAACTCATTTTTGAACAATTTTACAATTTAATCTTAATCTTTTTAAAATAATAACAATAATAATAATGAATATAATAACAACAATAATAACAATAATATTAAAAAATATAAAAATTTAATTATCATTCCAATTTCATTTCTAGGATATTCCATTAATTTCAAATTCATACTACCTCAATATTGAACTATGCAACATAACTTGCACAAGTTTTTTCTATTCTATTTAATAATATCGATAATAAATAAGATAAATCATTCGTTTTATAATGATATTATGTAAAAAACAGTTCGATACACCAGTAAATGATTATTTAGCTAAGAATAGAATGGACATCGTTACGTTGTTGCAAAGCTGTGTTGATGCTAAGGTAACGGTCTACCTGTGCTCATCTCCAAACTATACAAAAGACTCCGTTCTTTTTCGAGCGTAATTAACCCGTGTCTTCGATACGGTTGGAACATTTTCGGGACATTTTCACAAAGCAAAAAGTAAACGGACAAAATCCGTTTGATTTTGTATTTTTGCGCGGTCATCGTTGATTGAATTTTTAACACACGCTTCGACATTAACAATGATAACTTTGCTTCACGAGGCAAACGTTTTATTCATTGACTATTAACATCGAATCTCTTATACTTGTTGCTAACTTTATTCTTTCGTTCGATTTTTATTCCATCGTGAAGAATGAAATATCCTGTGTATCTACGTGTTTTTTAAAATGTTGTATCGAAATGAGTTTATTTTTACTTTCGATTTGAGCACAGTGCGCGCACGGTTGGCTGATGATCTAACAGGATGTTAATTTTTTGGATCACTAACTACATTGAATTCCAACTGTACGGAACAACAGTTCGATGGAATTTGTTTCGAGGAATACCGACTCTGCAGAATTTTTAACTTTGTTTAGAATTATGCGAAATATTTCGTATCACAGCTCTCCTTCGGCTAACTAAACTGCGAATAGTTTTCGCAAAATAGCTTGACGTAGGAATTTCAAAGAACATCGATGCAAGGAATTTCAACTTCACAGAACATTAGCTCCACGAGATTTTGTGTAGAGTAATGGCCTTCACGGATATTTCAAGTGCACGCACTCGATGTTATATTTCATATAATAAAATTTCGATTTCGAAACGCGTTAATCCTTCTTAAATCCTAAAGAATCCTCTTTTAAAGTCACGAAATAAATATTTCGATTAGCACAAACTTCACGGAATCGTGTAAAACAGTATATTAATTATACTTAGGCATGGAGTTTACGTCTTCAACCCAATATCAAAATCAATTTATCTCGAATAAAACTTTTACTGTCACCTTCGTGGAACGTGACACGATGACGATAAACATCGGTTTGTGTGAAAAACTCGATATCAGAAACTCGATTTCAGAGACGCGTACAGATCGCACGGAGCACAATTCCAACCACTAAATAAATTCGACGCAACAACACGGTCCCGCGATTGCACATTGCAGTGGTGACGGACACTGTCGTTTTAGATCGTCATTTCACCGCAAATTGTCTGAATATTTTAGAGCAGGGGAACCGGTTGCAGCGACGTCTATGATAAAGCGTATATAATTCCCTTGTCGAGTTGCGTTATAGGTGAAGGTTACCGAGTTTGTGACGTCGGTTGATAAATAAAACCGAAAAGTGAGAGAGAGAGAGAGAGAGAGAGAGAGAGAAAAAAGAAATGTTAGAGTGCTGCATGCGTAACGTGTGCCATTGCGAGAAATGCTTGATTTTTGCATGACTTGAACCTGCAAAGATGACTGGAATCTGCAAGGATCACAAGTGTCGAATTTTACGTGTTATATAATTAAATATATTCCAACGATATTTTCTAATATATTAGATTTATGCGTGATTGTTAATTTGAATATTTATTATTATAGGAATAGAGATATTGATATTGTGAATAAATGGACCTGTATGGAGATTTATCGTTGCACAGGTTCTTTGAGTTTAACGTTTTTTATTTTTTGGATGGTTAAAAATTAAATGATAGAGTATTAATTATATATATTGATATCGTGAGGCAAATCGACCTGTATACAAATTTATTATTGCACAGGTAATTTCGATTAGGTTAGTACATATTGTGACCTGTACGAAGATATATTATTGCACAGGTGTGCAATATATTGATGAAATTAAATAGAGCAAATATATAATTATTTTTCTAACTTATTCCCTTTGAAATAATCATCGGAAGCAAAGATGAATATTCTTGCAGATTCCTTCCAGAAATTATAAAATGATAAATACAAAATCGAACTTGACTTCTTCGAATCGAATATCAATTTCAGAGACCTCGCGCGTATATATTTATATTTATATAAACGAGATGGAAGATTTTATCGGATATTCCTCTAATGGATTTCGAATAATTAAAATATTCTAATTAATTACTTTAAATACTTAATTACTTTACATGATTTTACAACTTTTAGCACACTGAATTTTCATCGTTGTTTTCATTGTATTTGCTGGAAACGCGATCCCACACGTGAAACGTTTGGGAATTAACGCATCTGTTTTTTAAATAAGATATTCTATTCTCTTATTTTTATCGCATTTAATTTTAAAGTATTATTGATTAGATTAAAATTATATCTAGCATTCAATTAAAGAATTGAAACAAATTTCAGACCAATATGTAATAATTTTTTTTTTAACGTTGTTTTCTTATGCAAAAATCATTAGATCAAACACATGGAAAACGAAAATTTATTTTTCCATTATTAATCGATTTCTCGCCTTGTAAAGATACTGTTCTGTTCGAAGAATTTCCGTAACGTTACGTAAAAGTGGATCATTTTATTCAAATGCAGGTTGGAGCATAGAAGAATTGTTATAAAGTATCACACGCGTGATACGTTTAGTAATCGTAATTATCATATTCATTGTTGTAACGCAGTGAAAGAAGTGGGTGTTCATTTGTTACCGGTGTTTCGAACAATGTAAAGTCTCACTTTGTTGAACACCGTTTCCTGCCGTACATTCGGCCTATGCGACAACAACTGATGAGAACTTGCAATACAAAAATTTACCGTTATATTTGTATCAATTGTTCCCACCTTTCTGTTTTCACCTTTTCTTCTATTAACGAATTAAAAAAAAAAGAAACATTGGAAAAAATTCTATACTCAATTCTATTCAATTTGTATTCTCGACTTGACGTGATACTAAATTATCAATGATAGATTTATCGCGTACGATGCAAATAATAAATGAAAATTAAGTTTAATCCTAAGTTTAATCTAAACTGATGATCGCTCGTTATTCAACGATTTCAACTGATAGCCGATAATGAAATTTGGGAAAAATTTTGAATAACTTTAATATTTATTTGTTCGCCCTTTTCACACAGTTTCGTATACTGTATTCTACGAAAATCGTCGATATTACGTTACACCAACTAGCGTAACGTAAAATTCGTGGAATTAATTAATACAGAAAGAAGATACTCGGTATGTAATAAATAAATTTGAAAATTCGTAGAATGTTTGAGAAATATGATGAAATCTGATTCTCCCCTAGATAGTCTATTGCGTTACAAATTTGTTTTTATCTTGAAGGTTGATTCTGTTTTCCTTGACATTGTACAACGTATATTCCTCGTTCGAAAACAAATTTATTGCGATTTTCGGATGAATACAGTTACGATTCGTAAATTATATCTCAAATAAATTTACTTTCGCATTAATTTCCCCCCGAAAACTTGGCATGATTTTTTTTTAATTCTCTTAAATTAGAAAATTTAATTCTGATTCAAAAACTTACTTTTCAATGATAGAAAAAAAAAAAAAAAAAAGGAAGAAGAAGAGGTATGGTTTAGAATTTTCTATTCTCGTAGCAAACAAGTGTTACAAGAGATCGTAATATCCATCGATTATAACAAAAATTGTATAATAATTACTCTTCAAAACTCTTTAAGACAAGCATCTGTAAACATCGAAGATTGCGACGTATTAACAAGTGTGACATTAACAATTCAACCGTTATAGCTTTATACACTATGTACGTTCAATGACACTATTCTGTTCTTTAAATAAACGTTTCTTTTCAACAGATGAAAAATGAACGACCTTGTTTTGCAAACAATTTAAACATTTCCAAGACAATTTTCGAAATATTGTTTCATGAAAAAAGTTTCAAAAAAAGAGAAGAAAGATCGAACGATTATTAATCCATTATTTGTTATCCCAATTAATATTCGACTTAGGTTTAATCCACTTAATATTCTAATTAACATTCGACTCTTTAATATGTGATGGCGTGCTGCGAAAGTAAAAAGCGTGTAAACATGCTTTGAATATTTTTAAAACATCGCGATCCAAAGATTAGTTATTTAACTTATGGTAAAATCAATATATAATATTATATAAAAGAGAATTAATAGAGAAAGAAAATAAGCAAATGTAACGTTTGTAAATCGATAAATATTTCTCGAGTGGTTGTGTGCAATAATTTTATCTTTCGTTTATTACCATTTAAAAAAAAAAAATCTTATCAGGTTGCCAATTTACCATGCGATTACGTTAGGGAAAATAAAGAACTAAAAGTCGAGTACCATGATCGTTATCTGAATGTTCGAAGACAGATTGTTTTAAGCAACGTTAGCTGAAATGGAAAAATATATATATATATATATACAATCGAAGAAACTGAACTTTGGTATCGTTTTTTTGCAATGAAGTAATAAATGATTATATTGCAAATTATGCTGCTGTTTAAAGAAGATATGTACGTTTGATCTTTCATTCTGCCATTGAATCTCGTAATTATGAATAAAAATCATTTGTTTAAACAGTATGTGAAGAAATGAAAACATATGTGTGTGTGATATATATTATACGTGTATTACATTATGCGAAGAAACGAAATTTGAAATAATTTAAAATTTCGCAAAATTCGTGACTGTCGATAGAACAACACACCACGTGACAATTAAAGTTAATACAAATCTCCAATTAACAATTCCAACGTTTAAAAGTTCACATAAAAATTCGAAATTTTCCAAATTTCTTTTACCTTCCTCTAAAATTAAAACTAATGCTAAAATTATTTCCGACTTAAATACACACAGATAAAAAGTTAGTAATGTTGATCTTTACCGATACGAAACATTTAGATACACATTATCAGTCGATAATTCTAATGTAACTAACTATTTAACCAATCACGATACACGTAACACAACATCATTAAAACTATTTTGATTAAAAGTTAAAAAGGAAAAAGAAAAGAAGAAAGAGAGAAAAAAAAGGAATTCAATAAAACTTACTTTCTAAGCCACTTGAACATTCCCATCATACCCATTGCGCACGTGGCGCATCGGCAGACCGCTGTTAGATAAGACTCGACCAACTGACAGGTGAACACCGCGACGCCGACAAGCGCTGTGAACGTGAGATTGGTGCGCGAGGCGCGCGAATCGCCACGACTCGCTTCCTTTTCGCGACTGACGGGTTGACGAGAGCTCGAACCGGCGCGACACTTCCTTCTGACACTTCTGACAACGCTACTGGCCGCCCGTTCGCCGTTCCTTCTCCATCCTAACCGGCGATCCCCACTACGCGTATCCTGGACGTGTCTTCGGTATCCTTGCATACCCTTGCTCCTTGCGCTTCGCCAAGGGCAATAGAATCGAAGTGAGCATCGCGACAATTTTCCCTCGTGATACCGTACTACGTCTCTCGCTAAGCTTTGATCCTTGCGAGTTTTTTTTTTTTTTTTTTTTGCTTCAAGATTAGACGAGTTTTGAAGGGAAAATTTTCTCGTTCTAAGGTCTCGTTAAAAGTTACGAGATCGGTACGATCTCTTGAATGGAATGGTTAGCGATAAAATAAGGAGGAGGAAATATATTATTAATTATGAATCGGTTCTTATCCGAGAGCAAAGTGTTTATTGAAAGTGATGCTCGATATTGGAGCAACAAATCGTTTACGTTTATTTACGATCGAAGTTAAACCACGTTATCGTAAAATTGATGACGCGTTGCAGATCAAGCATCGTGTGCAACAAAAAAGGTGTTAACGTATCGTTACAATAATAAACTTACCGGTACCAGTCTTCTATTTGTAACATTTTACAATGTTTGCTCGTTCTACTTAGAAATTGTTAATCGTGCGGTAACAGAAGCGATAATTTGATTCTTCTCATTCGTCATACGACAATTCGTAAAACAACAATTTTCTGTTACGATTATCTAAATTCCTTGTTTATTAGCGTCATAATTAAAACGGATGCTGGTTCGAGAATATTCGATATCACTACTATTTTTACGTGGATAAGAATTAAAACCTTAACGATCTTTCAAACAAATCAACTTCCTCTAATCAATGAGACTCGGAGAGAAAGGTTGACTTTGATATCATGCGTTCAAGTTTGACAACAACTTTTGACTTCAATGAACCTTCTCACTGTTCTTACCTCTTACTTACCTCTCTTGTGTTATAAATATTTATATTTTTAATTTTCTTAAAAATTTAATTTCAATTCCTCGAAATTTAGCGAATCAAGTTATAACGAAATTATTCGCCATTTCATTGCACTCCACTCTAACGTTACAATTTCAACAATTTTAATCAGACAATTCGAATCTTAAACTGAATCGCTCAAACTCGTTGGAGAATTGCATTCCTAGACGATGCTCGTTTTCTTTAGAACTAGGAAGCTTTTTGCGGAATCATTGCTCGCGATGAAGTTTGTTTGATGTCGGTTCGCAGTAATGACGTGCCTCTTTTCGTTGGCTCAATTCATGAGATCAGTAGACGGCAATCAGTGTGATGAGTGATAACAAACAACAATTACTACTACGTGCAGTCTGCGGTAAAAGATAGAACTGGGCCATTGGCGGTGGACGTGGGAGGAACGACACTTTATAACGTAGGAATTGAAAATAAAGCTTTATTGCTGTTTTATGACACTGGAATTTCTAATTGTTCAAACCGTTAATTTTTGTTTAACGTTAAATTCTAAGAAAATTAGTCATAGTTTTTGCAACTGAAAACACAAATTGTTTAATATATTAATAAATAAAAACGAACTGCATACGTATATTTACTATGGATGGCGAAAAAAATGAAGTGGATTGTTGTTCATTGTTATTCGAATGGAAAAAAATTTATTATAACGAAGACGAAATGATAAAATTGCTCAGACGTGATTTATTCCGTATTAAATTTGATCGATATTCCATATTAAAAATTAACATTATCTAAATCCATTCTCTATATTTTCTCATGCTTTATAACTAGATATTTAGATAAATAAATAGTATTAATATAAATCATTATTATTGTTTGAGATAATTATACAATTCATATCAACTTTTTAATTGCAATTAAGAAAAATAAATTAAAATATATTGAGGTTATTGTATATATAATATTGTATATACAAACAAGCACATTCATTAATTTTTGATATCATTAACATCATTCTGCAGTTGATCAATTTATTCACAATTTAAAAATAAATTCAATTATAAAAGACATCAAATTAAAAAATTACAACCATAATAAAATTATAACAATTATGTATATATAATTTCATATAGTAGAACCTTTATTAATTTAAAGATAAATATATTTTGTATTTAACATTCAATAAACATTTGTACATACATTTTCAATAGATTAATAGATTTGAATATTTTAGATTTTTAATATTTTAGAAATTAATAACAATTATTCAATATTTTTATCTATCTCTCAGGACTAGTTCATTGTTAATTATTTAAGTTACATCATAATATCACACAAATAGAAAAAGATTGTTAAATAGAGGTAGAAATTCAAAGAATTAGATTAATTTAAATATCACAATAATATTAATGCTAATAAGAAATTGGCATCTGATAAGTCTTAAATGTTTCAAGTTTTTCTCATTTCCTTTTTTCCAATTCCTTCTACTTAATACCATTTAACGTGATTTCATCTCTTGTTTTATACAAGAAGTAAATGCTTCCAAATTTTTGAGTCGTTGTTGAGTCTGTAAAAATAGAAATAGAAATTGTATTAACATTCTAAAAAATCGTAATCGTTCTTTTCGTAAAACTTTTCTACATTTTTGAAAAAAATTGTTCAATCGAGTAAGAATTATTTTGAAGAAGATCAATATAGCTTCGATGTACTAAGTAATATGCAACCATGTATGCATCGACGTAGCATCGGTTGCGGTTTATCAGGGGCACTTTTTTTTTACCAAGGACGATTAAAAAACGTGGAATACTAATTTTTCGACAAATACCTTGAAACCTCTGCGTAATCGATCCTTCATTATCGCTATAAATTCCGTGTAGGATAACTGGCCATCGCCATCTTCGTCAAAAAGCGCGAATACAGTATCGATAATATGGTCGCTAAGTACGCTTCCTGTACAAATTTTTACAGCCCGTTGGAATTCATCTAAAAAGAAAAATACGTTGTTACATAATTCTTCGATGGTTATATTCAGCGATGATACGTACAAAAATCTTCTTAAAATATTAAATATTTCGAAACCTTTTGATATTGGATGATCCGCAAGAGTGTACATTCGCATAGCTATCGAAAAGTCATCGAGGTTGTTCAAGAATTGATAAAAACGTCTAAATTCCTCGAACGTAATACCAATTTGAAGATCTGAGTTTATCAGTATTCTGTCCAAATATTTATCATATCTGTAAACAGAAAATATATATAAATTTGATTATTTATAATCTCGCTTTATATTCCTTTCGCTTTTCTCCATTTCTCTCTCAAAAGCTTACAGCGTTAAATAATTAAAAATTTTAATTACAATGGTACAAATTTTATAATAGATAATAAGAAAAAGCGTACTCATCGGTATCGAGTTGAGTGTATCGTAGCAAAATTTTAGCAAAATCTAACTCAGAGATAGTATCATGGCCTTTGCTAAATTCGTGAAATTCAAGTTCTAGAACTTCGTGTTGCAGATTTTCCATGAAACGGGTGAAATCTTCGTATTTCAACTCGTTCTTCCCATCTTTTCCAAAGAAGTGTATCATTAGACTTGTATCGACTGCATGGCGGCGTTGCAAACCCTGGAAATAATATTTCAGTTCAAGTACGATATTTCATCCTTTTATATTTTAACTGTCTCGAATATTATGGCATACCTGTTCATCGTCAATGTATTGGACTTGAATCGCTTCGGGAGTCATTTGCCTTTCCGTCAAAAGATTTAGATTTTCTTTGGTTTCGGTACCGTGTCGTCCTCTCCACGCATGACTGAAAACTTTCTCCATCTGTGTGAAAGAAACAAGGAATGATTAAAATTTCTATTTTATAATTCAAGGTGAAACCTTCATCAGAAAACGTATACAAGGTGGATTTGCATAACGTGTCTGAAATAAATGATAAGAGAGTTAGTATAACAGAGATTAATATGATTGCAAACATGTTATTCTTCCGATTAAAACTTAAAATACACAATAATGATGATTATATATTATAATGTTAAATTTTATTGGGTTATTATAATTCGAATTACTTACCTAATATTTGCATTGCGATATTATTACACGGACGATTCCCCCCAAAAATGTGAGAAAAACCGGTTAATTGAAGATTTCTCGGATAATTTCAAACGTTATTTTCCTTTGGAAAAACTTTTGTTAGCGAATAATTAACAAAGAACATTAGCCAATCACGAAACACGTACTCGAGTCGCGACGGTAGCGTTGGGTACATACCGCCGACCGAACACAAACAAATACAACACGCGTCGAAGATTTTATTCGGGAATAATAAATAAACTAATTATTCGTACGAATTTATTCGTCATTCAAAATAAATAAACATCAAATTATAGTATAAGAAGACAAATATTAAAAATTTTTAATAACGAACGATAAATAATACGTATTTAGAAAAGAAGAAGAATTGGTAAAAGAGAGAAGAGAAGGTGACAAAGCAGGAAGACGAGGGAGAATAATGACAAGAGAGGATAACAAAGGGAGAAAGTAGGTAGAGAAAGATCTTGAACGAAGATAGCAAAGAAGATGTTGAAAAGGATCTCAGAAGAAGAAGAGAAAAAAGAGAATGGCGAAAAGAGCAGGAAGAGAAAGTAGAGTGATGACAAAAGAAAGAAGAAGATGAGGATAATAAATGTGACAAAAAGGGGGCAAAAGGATGAGGAAAAATGATGTTGATAAAAGAAGAGGGAAGATGACAAAGGAAGAGAAAAACGAGAAAAGAAGCGCGGATTCTTATAGGAATTATTTTATTCGTTGTTTCTAAATAAAAAGTAATTCGATTTAAAATTCTTTTTCGATACAAAAATATTCAATAGATTTCCTTCGACACGCGTTGCTTGTTCGTATTCGGACGGCGGTATACACCCATCACTATCATCGCGGCTTAACCAGTCTATGCGTTTCATGATTAGCCAGTGTTTTTTGTTAATAATTCGATAACAAAGTCGTAAGGAAACTTTTTGCACGAGGAAAACATTTTACTTGAAATCATTTCAAGAATCTCCAATTCCCACATTTTGAAGATATCAAAATATATATAATATAATGATTAAACGAAGTTGTGTATGTGTTTTTATTTACGTTATAAATTTTTTTTTAATTTTTGATAGCTTAATTTTATTTGAATTTATAATACAAAATC